GCATTAGTTGTAAATATATGGTGCCATATTGCATTGGTTGTAAAAATATGGTGCCATGTTGCATTAGTTGTAAAAATATGGTGCCATGTTGCATTAGTTGTAAAAATATGGTGCCATATTCCATTGGTTGTACAAATATGCCATATTGCATTGGTTGTAAAAATATAATGCCATATTGCATTGGTTGTAAAAATATGGTACCATGTTGTGTTGGTTGTAAAAATATGGTGCCATGTTGCATTGGTTGTAAAAATATGGTACCATGTTGTGTTGGTTGTAAAAATATGGTGCCATGTTGCATTGAAGATAAAAATATGGTGCCATGTTGCATTGGTTATAAAAATATGGTACCATGTTGTGTTGGTTGTAAAAAATATGCCATGTTGCATTATTTGTAAAAATATGGTACCATGTTGTGTTGGTTGTAAACATATGGTGCCATGTTGCATTGAAGATAACAATATGATGCCATGTTGCATTGGTTGTAAAAATATGGTACCATGTTGTGTTGGTTGTAAAAATATGGTGCCATGTTGCATTGAAGATAAAAATATGATGCCATGTTGCATTGGTTGTAAAAATATGGTGCCATATTGCATTGGCTGTAAAAATATGGTGCCATATTGAATTCGTTGTAAAAATATGGTGCCATGTTGAAATGGTTGTAAAAATATGGTGCCATGTTGCATTGGTTGTAAAAATATAGTGTCATATTGCATTAGTTGTTAAAAAATGATGCCATGTTGCATTGGTTGCAAAAATATGGTGCCATGTTGCATTGGTTGCAAAAATATGGTGCTATGTTGCATTAGTTGTAAAAATATGGTGCCATATTGCATAGGTTTTAAAATATAATGCCATATTGCATTAGTTGTAAAAATATGGTGCTATGTTGCATTAGTTGTAAAAATATGGTGCCATATTGCATTGGTTGTAAAAAATATGGTGCTATTTGCATTAGTTGTAAAAATATGGTGCCATATTGAAATTGTTGTAAAAATATGGTGCCATGTTGCATTGGTTGTAAAAATATGGTGCCATGTTGAATTTGTTGTAAAAATATGGTGCCATATTGCATTGGTTGTAAAAATATGGTGCCATATTGCATTAGTTGCAACAATATGGTGCCATGTTGCATTGGTTGCAAAAATATGGTGCCATGTTGCATTGGTTGTAAAAATATGGTGCCATGTTGCACTGGTTGTAGAAATATGGTGCCATGTTGTGTTAGTTGTAGAAATATGATGCCATATTGCATTGGTTGTAAAAAATATGGTGCCATATTGCATTGGTTGTAAAAAAATGGTGCCATATTGAATTCGTTGTAAAAATATGGTGCCATGTTGAAATGGTTGTAAAAATATGGTGCCATGTTGCATTGGTTGTAAAAAATATGGTGCCATATTGCATTGGTTGTAAAAATATGGTGCCATATTGCATTAGTTGTTAAAATATGGTGCTATGTTGCATTAGTTGTAAAAATATGGTGTCATATTGCATTGGTTGTAAAAATATGGTGCCATATTGCATTGGTTGCAAAAATATGGTGCCATATTGCATTAAAGATAAAAAATATGGTGCCATATTGCATTGGTTGTAAAAATATGGTGCTATGTTGCATTAGTTGTAAAAATATGGTGCTATGTTGCATTAGTTGTAAAAATATGGTGCCATATTGCATTGGTTGTAAAAATATGGTGCCATATTGCATTAGTTGTAAAAATATGGTGCTATGTTGCATTAGTTGTAAAAATATGGTGCCATATTGCATTGGTTGTAAAAATATGGTGCCATATTGCATTAGTTGTTAAAATATGGTGCTATGTTGCACTAGTTGTAAAAATATGGTGCTATGTTGCATTAGTTGTAAAAATATGGTGCTATGTTGCATTAGTTGTAAAAATATGGTGCTATGTTGCATTAGTTGTAAAAATATGGTGCTATGTTGCATTAGTTGTAAAAATATAGTGCCATATTGTATTGTTGTAAAAATATGGTGCCATATTGCATTAGTTGTTAAAATATGGTGCCATATTGCATTGGTTGTAAAAATATGGTGCCATATTGCATTGGTTGTAAAAAAAATGGTGCCATATTGAATTCGTTGTAAAAATATGGTGCCATGTTGAAATGGTTGTAAAAATATGGTGCCATATTGCGTTGATGAAATGAAGATAAATAATCACAACTGTACGAATAAAAATATGTTTAGATTTATTATTTCCTGATTATTACATCACGATTGTGAAAATTAATAAAATTCATCACTAATAATTCTCATTTGAAATGTGACATACATGTCAAATTAAGCACTTGTTACCAAGGCAACACTGATGCAACTCCTAAAGTGAAATAGGTTTTCCAGATTACAAATTAATTCTCTTGTATACATTATCAGTAAAACAAAACATTTGAATGAATCAATCAATGTTTTGGTTTCGGGGTTGGGTGGGGTGACCCAATCAAAAAATTCATGAATAAGCCCCCCTTTCTTCTAACATGGCTCATCCCTGAGTCAAGTGTTGAATCGTTGGAACTTGTCTACATGGTCCACAAATACAAAAAACATTATGCGTAATACCAGGTTTTCTGTTCATATGAAAAAGCATTTTGAAGTTTCTATACCCATCCTATCCTATGGCAATTTCAACATTGGAATCATGTCAGGAACAATGCTGTATAAAACAGTTCAGTTCAAACAGGCATGTTGTATGACTGATTATCATCAACATAAAAGGGCTACATTTTTTAATTTTTTTTAAGTATTAATTGTTCAGCCCACATGCCCCATGTGAAACCAATGAAAACACACTTAATAAGCCATTTATATTTGTTATAATTGTCTGCACATATATGGAAATTAAGTTTTTTTCCAACTAAAATGAATTTCCAAGTTATTTTGGTGTTGTTTACATGTATACATCCAAACATTTACCCTGATGTGTGTGTGTACTTGGTATTAACGTAGTCAAATAACTTAAAAAATTGCAAAAAACAGCCTAATTGTATATTAAAAAATAAATATCTATACAAAAAGAGAATAAGACGGCTGTATAAACTATTAAAAAAGTAGTAACCTTTCACCAAGCTATGTTGCGTTGCGTTGCGTTGCGTTGCGTTTTGGCCACAAATTCCTACAATTTAAGATGAGGTGTACCAGATACTGTAACTGGATATGGTTATCAGTAGTGCACATTTCAATTTGGGGAGAAGGTTGGGTTAAGGGGTTAGGGAATCAGCACTCAATTTACATATCTTGTCTTCGCCAGAACAGTATGACCATCACACAAATCAAATTTCAAAATGATATGGTGTTGAATTTATATTTGAAGAGGAATAGAGTAGAAGTTTTGACCACCTTGTAATATATGCAAATGAGCATGCAAATCACACATTGTTTCTACCAGAATTATATAACAATCCCACATACCAAATTTCAAATTTAAGAGTGCCGAATTTCTTTAGTTATGACTCTGTATGTTTAAATCTATGAACAGACGAACACTGGTAACCACTATAATAACTGATTTACCTAAAATAACTTGACAATTCCTTAAATCCTCAAATTGCATTCTGAGGAAATCAGTGAATATGAGGATGCACAAAGCAATTGGAGCGCACACAAGGTTTAAAAATGCTTTTCGCTAAATTGCTCACTATGTGAAAATGTTGTAAAAAAAAATCTAGTACTACCATGAGAGTAATACAGAAATATATTCATTAATAAATCTAGCCATTGGCGAAATAGTAAATAGGTAGTAGGAGCCCTGTTAATGCAAACTAAGATTTTATGGAATTCCTTCTTTAAGTGATTAGTTTCCAGATTACAAAATTACAATTTTTTCATTAAAGACTGGAATTCATAATAGTCCATTACAACAGTATTTAGCAAAACTATTCTTCAAGTGGTTAGTTTCCAGATTACAAAATTACAATTTTTTCACTAAAGACTGGAATTCATAATGGTCCATTACAACAGTATTTAGCAAAACTATTCTTCAAGTGGTTAGTGTCCAGATTACAAAATTACAATTTTTTCACTAAAAACTGGAATTCATAATGGTCCATTACAACAGTATTTAGCAAAACTATTCTTCAAGTGGTTAGTGTCCAGATTACAAAATTACAAATTTTTCACTAAAGACTGGAATTCATAATAGTCCATTACAACAGTATTTAGCAAAACTATTCTTCAAGTGGTTAGTGTCCAGATTACAAAATTACAATTTTTTCACTAAAAACTGGAATTCATAATAGTCCATTACAACAGTATTTAGCAAAACCATTAAGCATGAAATGTACAGTATACATTATAACAACTTTTCAAATCTGCTAGAGCTTGAAAATTTGGTATAAAGTCATTTTCAAGGGAAATCCACTGCAGTGAAACCTAATGCAGATGAAATCGTTTTTGGGCACTATATAAGAATCGATTAGTTCAATTTAGTAAGTTTTAAATCACTTCATTTTCTAATAATTCCCACAACAGACTAGGACGTAATGGCGGCGACACAACCACTACCATGCGGTGATTTAGCTGCAACATCCAAATCTTCTTCTGCAAGTTTCCATACTAGCCACTTCAGTCCACTGATCCTTCACCACATTGTACACTTCCACCGTGTTAAGATAGTCCATACCATCGTAGCCACCCAGGGCATATAAACGATTACCCACAGCTGCCACGCCCACACCGTTTCTGGGCCGATTCATTGGACATGCTAAGCTCCAGGTGTCTGATGTCGGGTCATACACTTCAACACTTGCAAGGCTGCAATAAAAACAGTCATGTGTGCATCAATAGAGGGAATGTAAAAGGGACACTAGCATCATAGCATGTCATGAGGGTAAAGCAAAAGAAGACTCAATGTGAGTACGAACCACTACACACAACTTGCAGACATATTGCAACATAACGATGAGTGAGAAGTACGTCAGGTTTGTATCACATGATTTCAGTGAGTTCTTCCTCACATACCACCATCAATGGTTATCAAAGTTGCATGCCCTTATCTTTATCTACCCTTGATATTATTTACATGTACAACAGTGGCATGTCAAATAGTTCTTTAGTCAACTTCTGTCACAAAATAAAGCAGACATAATTTTTTTTCATATTTTTTCCTAACTTTTGATCAAGACATGTAGCCAATAGGAAATTATGTTTACTTGGTGAAAAATGATCAAAAATATCATTGAAAAATATTTAAAAATATGCAAAATGTTAAAATATGGTGTTTTAAAATCTTGTGTTGTATGGCAATAAACATGCTAATTAGTCTATATAGTGTTAAGAAAACATACCATAATGCTCGTTCACAGCCACCCGCTACGTATATCTTGTTGTTCAACACCGCTGCCCCAAGCATGGATCTACACGTCAACATAGGTGATACACTACTCCATTCTTTGCTCTGAAATGGAAAAATACGATGATCAGCTGAGACGGATTGAGAGCTGAATGCTAACAACACAAATTTGAACACTGATCCCTTTATACCAGCGTTTCAAATACACACATCACTCTTTGAACGTTTCGTTAACCGCAATACGTGAACAAAAAATTGATTTTATCACAATCAAACATTGGAATAGCGTTGACAATGTGTGGTGGTCTTCATTGTTCTCTGTTTTATATAAAGTTCACACATAGTTTTTGAATTGCCAAATAATATAATATCGCAGTTTATTCAATCAAATAATACATACATGTACATATTTTATTTTATTTATTTATTAACACTTACTCACTCCCCCGAGAGAGTGGCAATGGTTACAGATATTAGTAAAAGTATACAGTGTTAATACACTAATAAGGAATAAAAAAAAAAAAATAAAAAAAAAAAATAAACAATGCACATGTTAGCAATGCACATTTCAATTAAAGAACTGAAGACATCATTAGAAAATGAACAATATGAATAGTATCAAAGCAATTGGACTTACAGTTTTTAACAAGAAGTCAAAAATATCACTTTTTACCAAAAATTACAAAAATATTCACCAAAATAAATTAATTAGAGAATTGAAGATATCATCACAAAATGAACAAAACTGAGAGAGGTCCACATGTAGTACCTATATATGTAATATCAAAGCAATCGGACTTACAGTTTTCAACAAGAAGTCAAAAATATCACTTTTTACCAAAAATGACAAAAATATTCACCAAAATTAGAGAACTGAAGATATCATCACAAAATGAACAAATCTGAGAAAGGTCTACATGTAGTATCTATATATGTAATATCAAAGCAATTGAACTACTGGTTTTTAACAAGAAGTCGAAAATATCACTTTTTACCAAAAATTACAAAAATATTCACCAAAATTAGAGAATTGAAGATATCATCACAAAATGAACAAATCTGAGAGGTCCACATGTAGTACCTATATATGTAATATCAAAGCAATCGAACTTGCGGTTTTTAACAAGAAGTCGAAAATATCACTTTTTACCAAAAATGACAAAAATATTCACCAAAATTAGAGAATTGAAGATATCATCACGAAATGAACAAATCTGAGAGAGGTCCACATGTAGTACCTATATATGTAGTATCAAAGCAATACATCAGCCGCTGTATCAAACAGAACACTGCGTCTATTACTGTATTTGGGACACTCCACCATAAAATGAAATTCATTTTAAATGGCAACTTGGTTACACATGTCACAAACCCTGTTACTGAGTGGAGTACAGTTGTGTCTGCCAGTCTCAATCTTGAGGGCATGGTCACTCAGACGGAACTTAGCCAGACTCAAATCAATGTTTTTGATATTGATGAGATATGATTCCATACTGATATTGAATTTAAATGTTCTGTAAGTTCTGAGTTTGTTTTTTCTCTCAGACTTTTCACGAATATCACTATGAATTTCTTCTTTCCAATGGGATGTAAATTTATGCGTGAGGTTGGACTTAATGACATTTATGTCTGTTGAAGTTAATTGAGTATTGAAAGTAGATTCTCAGTATGAAGGTTTTCTAGTGGTTGACAAAAGCAACATCTTGGTCTGTCCGAGTTTGGTCAGAATGCTCTTCGAATGACAAACACAGAACTATGTGAAACATAGAATGAAACAAGCAATGCAAAATGTACCCCATGCAATATGCAACATGTCTTTATGTATAACCATTTGAATGACAGATATTTTTCCCGCCCAAAGTTCATTGCAAATATTTTCACATTTTGTAAAATTGTCACTATTACCGTATATAATCAAATTTCATCATCATTTTGGACCATAAAGACAGTATCAGATGTTGTTTTTAGTTTTTGATCAAAAGGTTTGTTTTTAAATAAACATTTCATGCAGACTGTACAAAATGGTTTGTATAGTACACGTGTCATGTTTACGACTTGGTTGCAACACGATCAAATTCTCTCGCTTCAAAGTGACAGTCTGTACAAATGACTGATGTGTGACTTCATGTCTGTACGTGTGTGTCTTGACATGCAGTATTATATATTTATTTATATATGATTCAGGTCGAGACAAAAACTATAAATTAGACAGATAACTTTCTATTCCTGTACAAAATATGTTTTGTCATGATAATACACATTCACATACTGACTAAAAATAATATACAACATTATAACAAACAATAGAAAAGTTTAAAGACCAAACCTACCACAGGGTTGTATTTTTCCACCGTGATGAGGTCATTAGCGCCATCATAACCACCAATGACATAAATGTGGTTGCCTAGGGATACCACACCTGCCATACTTCGTGGTGTATTCATATCTGAATAATAATAATAATAATAATAAATAATAAAGGAATCAATGTGTTATATTGTCAATGATTTTTAAGACAATTTTGCAAATAAATCTGATGGTTTAGGTGAGGTCATATACAACAATGATAACTGTACTGAACTGCCAATTCCAGTATGCAATCTAAGCATATTTGTCAAAATGAAATTCATCTCAAAAACCACCTTGTATTTGATCACAAGATAACGACCATCGACAGAATATGTAAATCAAAAAGGCATGTGACCTCAGTTATACTATCTTAGCGTTTTGTTTCATTTTGCCGGTATAGCTTTCTAATTTTAGGTGTATCATAGTTTTTACTGTAGACCACTTGGCGAGATTGCATGAAACACTCATACTTTTCTGTTTTTTGTTGTAAAAAGAATGTTTTTACTTCGCGTTAATAAGGCTTACAGAAGACACTGCTGTATTATTGAAGACGCATGTTCAAGTGAATATATCAATAATATAATATAACATTCTCCCACAAAATGCACGTTTTAATTTTACTCTTCTAACAGAGATACCGGTAATAGTGAACAAATTTTAAAATCACTAACCCGGTAGTAGTGTCCATTCATTTACACTTGGATTATAACTCTCTGCTGTTTGCACGCTGGTCATCCCATCGTAACCGCCGAACGCATATAGATGATTCTGAAAGGTCACGACCGCTACACTACTACGGTGGGCAAGGAGTGGGGCAACCATTCTCCAACAGTCAGTCTGTGGATCAAAACACTCAACACAGTTGAGCGCATTCAAGCCATCGGAACCGCCAACAGCATAGAGTACATTTTGTAGTGTGGCTAAACCGACACCACGGCGAATGCTTCTCATAGGGGTGACCGAGGTCCAGCGGTCAATCAGAGGGTTGTACCTCTCAACGCTGCTTATAGTGCACCGCCCTGGAGCTGTTTCACCACCTGGATAAAAACAAAATTCTGATTGGTTACAGCGGGGTAGTCGTCACTTGCGCATGCGTCAGATGGTCATAGCGTGCCATTGTTTACAAACAAGCGTCTACCCATGAATCTTTGCGTTTTTAGCGTGTGTTGTTATTGTCGATTGCAACTCAATTCCTGCGCATGTGCAGGTGACGACCCTCTCGCTTTAAACACCGTGGTGGATTCAGTTATCTACGTTCAGTGGAACAATCATAACAGATGCAATAGCCACAATTACATAAACAACACACTAGCATTGTCCAATGTAATCAGCAGTCACAAAGTTTTAGGAATTTCATGCAAATTTTTGATGTCTCGTCCTAAGGACCCCAGTGAAATCTTCACTGTGACTCTCTGTCTTAAGGATCCTACTTGCCAAAAGATCACCTTTTTTATGGTTGTTTTATATAGAATGCTACCGGTACATGTGCAGTTTTGACATGTGTATATATTAGTGGATAGCAGTGACAATATTTCATGTCAAAATATTTTTATAATTAATTGTTTTAGAATTAGTCAACAGTTTGTGAACTTTTTTGGTTTACAGTAAATCGGTTTTTGATGAAAAACGTAAAATAATGTATATAAAATGCCATTTTATTGATGGTTTCCATAAACCACTATAAAAACACCTTTTTCTTGTTAAAAAATTCAATATTTTCAGTTTTTCAATACTTCTCGACATCACAAACATACTTTGTAAGACAATATATACGGTATCTCTTTTTTCACCATATGTCACAGTCTGATTAAAATAAGATTCTAGTTTGGGCTTTTTTTTTTTTTTTGTTAAAATAATATCATTCATATTTTTTTCATATATTCTATTATTTTTTTTTTAAATTTGTTTGCTGGTATTTTTTTTAAGTTTTGGCTTTCGCTGTTGTCCAATGTTTGTACCAATTTTAAACAAAATTGGAATATAAGAAATGCTTAATTTTGATGAATTTTTAACATTGAAATGGCTGCCATTCGGCCATTTTGTATTGGATTGTCTAATGAATACATGTGTGACATGATGCATGGTATATATTATAGTTTGCACATGATCCATCACGGCATGTCAGAGAAACAAATCTACACAGCATTTGTTAAAACAAAATGGCCACCAGTCGACCATTATAAAAAACAAAATGATGCGCATCATGGTCCTGTAATGTCAAGTTCGAATAATATTCGTCTTCACACGACTGAGAACTGAATCCGGAATGGCAGAAATGCTTGATTTTGATAAATTTTACTACAAAATGGTCACCATTCGGCCATCTTGAATGGGAATGTGAAACAATGAACATGAATATACGTCCCAAGATGCATAATGTATGTAAGAAGTTTGCACACAGAAACAAACAGATGCACAAAGGTCAAAACACATGATAATTCTCGTTTTCAGACTTCATGAGAACAGAAACTACCGGTAATATAGACTAATGAATTTGAGACTGTGGACTGCTATTCCAGTCTCTTGGAATGTGTGAAACAAACAGCGTGTTCTAGCATGTTTGAATACATCTGGTAGTGAATTGTACATGGTACATATAATTGTCAAAGATATCAAAGCATGTGAATAGAAATTTATCAACAATATCTTCTTTTATTAGTTAACTTTTACTCCATGAAAGAATGGCAGAAACTTCTGGTCAATATTTAATCAATTCTTTTCTGCACTTCAATTGACCATGTATTTGTATGCAGCTATTGCCCTGGATAAATGCATTATTAATGCATAATAAAAACATTTCTGTTAACAAAAATCAATAAATAATCAATATTAGTGATCAGAACACTTTTTAACAATTTGAAAGGTTTTGACAGTTGTCTCTAATTAGTTGCAGAAACAAGTTAATATTAAATGATCCATAAGTATGTCCTCATATTAAATATTTTCAATAAATTAGTTTACTTGCATTCAAGTATGGGCAAAAAATTGATCAATTTTTGTTTCAAAAGTGTTTAAATCATACAAGATCATTGTCAATATTTTTATTGAGTCTTTCTGAAAAACAGCATCACCCTTACACCACCAGTTCCCACTTCTCATCACAAATTCAAAAATGGTCCGCATTTTCCTTCAGAAGATTGAGAGTAAAAACTAAAAATTTACTAAAATTTTGTCTGTAGGCTCCAAAATTAGGGTTCATCATGTGATCACTGACATCATGTCACCTAGGAATGGTGTAAAGCAGTCACATTTGTGAAAGGAACATGTGAAACCATTTTTATTTTTGCTGGTACCTAAATTAGAGTCAAATTTAATTTGTTGGTCCATGTGACCAGCGTTTCTATAATGAGCTGTTATCACTGTAAATGGCGATAAATAATGCTCGGTTTATGTTCCTATAATAATAAATTTCTTGTTTAATAAAAAAGTATCTTGTCTAAGGTTGCTGTCTCAATCACAGTCGATATAGCTGTGCAACAAAAAACCATTCACTTAGGGACGACGTCAAAAGATCGATGTCGGATAAAAAACTTATTTCCTTTAGTTTGGGGGTGTGGGGTTTTGACCTCAAAAAGTTTCCATCCTACAAAAACGATTTTATTTTTTAATGAAGTCAAAAAAATCTTGGAGTATTTGTAGTTCGTTTTTTTTCTATCCAATCATGGACAAAAATAACAGAAAATTAAAAAAAACCATCCAATACGAGAAAATGGTTTGGTCCGAGTGTAAAGTCTTTTTACACCCACCCGACAACCAACTGATATGCCATACTACTGTCCGATTATCAATTTGTATTTAATGGTGAATGTAGTCTTACGCCATGGTCAATATTTATCAATTAAGTTTTAGTGGGGGGTAGGGGGGTTTTGGGAAAAACTAAAGGAATTAAGTTTTTTATCCTACATTGAACTTTTGATGTTGTCCCTTACGATGAAACAAAGTTGAATTTTACTGGCATTTTATAACAAACCAACATTTTTGTTTTTTAGTATTATAACATACTGTAGAATACTTTATTTTCGCTTGGAATTTATCTTCGCTGAAGGGATGATTCCGTGAAAATAAAATCCAGCGAATATACTTTTTTTCCTATATTTCACATTAAACTCATCAAAAATCAGTGAAAATAAATTCCATACAAAATGCCCAAAAAGCCTTTTCAGCGAAAATTAATTCCAGCAAAAATAAAGTATTCCACAGTAGTTGAATCTAGCCATCTGATTGGCTGAAGCAATGTCTTATATCTGGCACTAGAAGACCTGTGATCCTGCCCAAAACTGAATGAACTGTCTTTAATATCTAACTGAATCTAGATCACACGACTGAGATCACTGTTTGATGTGGTTGTGGGTATGTGATCTACTGATCAAAACAGGGAAACCTTACGCTCTGTTATTATCTCTCGTCAAATATGCTAATTTTCTCCAGAGAGGTGTTATATCTGCTAGCAAATACCCGCCCGTCTCAATTACAACCTCTAAATAATCAACGTGTATATGTTCTCCAAAATAAGAGAGTTATTCAAGAGTGAAACTGACGAGTGACGCAAATCAGTACCTACCTGCAGCATAAATATATTTGGCTTGACAGAATGAATCACGTGGTAAAGACCTCACATTCAGTTCACCTTGCAGCTGTGGATGAAATGAAGACGCAAGAAAACGCTTTGCTTCATTGTAATATTTCATGCATATTTTACTACCAGTAACTAAGTTGTCATCGGCAACCTTAGTCGTCAGAAATTCCCACGTGACAAGCGGGAGACGAACATGCTCTAGAATAGTCGGCAATTCCTCAAGTCTGCTCTCATGTTCGTGTTTGATCCACAATACAACAGCGCTATATACTTCTTCTTCGCTTTTCACGTTCAACGTGTCCCGGTGAATCAAACCAATCAAGTCATCGCAGGAAAGTTGCAGGAATTCTTCGTTTTGGGCTACTTTGGAGAAATGCTGTTGAGTGTATGTATCGGCAGCTGTCTGCAAATCAAAGCATCCATGTAGTTCAGCAAACTTACGTATGCCCAGACAGTTTGAGGGGTCAAGCTGCGACTCTAGAAATTCACAGCATGCAGTTTGCACAGTTTGAAGCTGAAGAAGGCTACTTGCTTTGAGTAATGCTTGTACATTGTCTTCACTTACGTGTACATCAGCCGTGTATGCGAAGTTGATGATGGCCTCGACGGCATTCGGTTCCAAATCCTGCAAAACTATAACCGTCTCTCCCTTTTCTCGCACCTCGCTTGTGAACATTGCATTAAAATATGGACTGCATGCAGCCAATACAATGCGATGTGCAGGGAAACATTTACCCTTCACTGAAAGTGTAACGTCACATAATTCGGCACGTTCCCGCAGACCATGCATGAAAGACAACATACTGACGGCATGCCGCTGCAGTTGGAGCACTCTGTACTGATCCATATCAGTGCTGCTCACAACTTCATCTTGCACGGTTGTCCGTTTGGTTTCATTTCCGGAACCACCGGCATCTGGGAACATCTCACCTCCACCAGCTTGGTTTGGGTCGTCCATGGCGATAAGCAATTGAACCTTGATTTTCACAATTTGGTTATATAGTTCATTCCATCATCAACACTCTGGAAGCAATAATAGGAATAAATGAACGAACAAACAATTAAATGAATTGATGGGAGGCAATTCTAACAAGAAAATATTAAATTATGTATTGAAATGTTACATAGTACAATAAACACAGATAATGGGCGTCAGAAAAACCCTAGATGAAGCACAGCTACAGTCTATGATTTGAAGACTTTAGGTCCAAATTAGTTTTAACGAACTACCATCTCCTCAGACTGCACTCTGTGGTACATATCTTGGTTTTTTCATTACAAATATTTGCTTTTGATATACACCAAACCTTGAAATAGTGAAATAAAACAAACACAAAACTCAGTCCTCAGTGTCCTTTTGTACGTCATATTTTTTCATGCCAAAATTTTGCTGAAAAATGTTGCCTGTTTTTATAGATTTTCCTATATATTTTTTTTAATAATTTTGGTTAAATAGATATAAGAGTCTACCGTAGATCTGAAAAAATAATGCAGGTTTATTTGTTGAATGATGTAAATTGTTCACTTTTTTGGTCAAAGAATATTTGTGTGAAGCCATAATATTCGACATGAATTTAAAAACACAAATGGAAACAAAACCAATTCCATTCACACGAGTTGTATTATATATCATAAATTTGGTCCAGTAAGCCATTCTATGTGATTACAAGCTCACAAAATTCAGACCTTGACGACAGTTGTTGCTTGGCTAATCCAGCAAATACCTTGTAATTTAGTTGGTGCACAAACAGATAAGCATGACTATAATTAAATTCTGTAAATCATGTTAATTTGTAACTTATCATGGATTTCACAGTAGGTGATAATCGTAAAACTTAACAGTCGTAAATAAATCACTTGGAGACCTTTAAGACGGAGAGTGACAGTGACTTTAATCACGAAATTTCTTCATAGTAAAATATTCCAGTGGCCAAATGTATACATTTAAAGTATACTAAAATAACCATGTATCTACTCTCCAATGTTGATAAAATCTACCAGATATGTACATAATAGATAACAACTTTTCACATGTAAAAATAAGCGACAAGGAAATCTAGATTGATCAGTGTTCTGGCAATTTCCCAGCATGCACCTATGACAATATATATCTGCTGAAAACTTGGTATCCTCGGGGACGGAGCTACGTCACAAGACGCTTCATGTTGCTACGACGCACACCACTGTACATGCATTTCTATGTGCTCTGTGCGCGCTGCTGTGGAACGCCGGTCGAGCCGGTGAAAATTCGAGCAAACAACACAAACTCAACTTTGAAGTAATCCCGAACAACCAAATTCATATATGTTACACACGTAGGGCTAATCGTGTTACACTGTTCAGAGGAGTCTCAACAACCATCCCAAAGTACCGTTTTCTGTGAGTTTTGGGCCTTTGTTTTCACCGCCGTGGGATTGCCAGGCGGTGAAAATGCCGGGATGTTCGCCCTCGAGGATAGTGAGAAAATAATTTTTGATGTAAACTGACCGTCGTATCTTTCTGAACGATCACAATAGTTTAAGAAAATGATGAACAAACAAACCATGTCTTACGTTTATTAGTATCTTATCTGCTTTTGTTTTTGAAAAAACATCAAAAAATAAAAAAAAAATAAAAAAAAAAAAATTAGAATTGTAATTTTTTTGCAGGATTCAATTTTTTTAAGAAATGACAATAAACTGAAAGATACACTTTTTTTTTAAGTTCAACTACAACAAGATGTTAAACCACGGTTAATAGGCGTACGATCTAGTGTCAAGTTTATACAGGGTCATTGCAAGTTCAGCAGCTCTGATTTACCCTCAGTTATGGAGGTACTAGTAGTACTGGTGTACTCGCAACTCTACATGTACATGCCGAGTCCTTGGCCGTACCGAAAACCTATCAAAAGGGCCATCGGAGCATCACCAACTCGAGCAATCGTGCGACGCCGATACCAATGGGCGCGGCATGCACCGTGGCCATACTATCACAGGTACCTTCACCACGCCAAATGCCCGCACAAAAATCCACACGCTCCAACACAGTCTATAGTTAGAATAACATAATGGTACGTCGAGAGTTGCTAAAAGGGAATACAAGCAGTTTAACAAAAAATAGTCACAGTTTCTCTAGAACTTATTACAGGAGAGTATCCATTTACCTGAATGCTGGATTTGGTGTACTGTACTCCTCATCCCGCCCATTCGTCGCTGATGATGATCATTTCAAAAACAAGACACAGTACAACTTATGACAAATACAAGACATGCTGGCGTCTGACTTCCTGGATTCACCTACGGTAGTATACTACAAGAACATTTAGGGTGTACAGGGAAACTACAGAATAGGAAAGCGAAAGTAAAGCGTGTGCAAAATGAGTGTCAGCTGTGAATCGCGCCACCATCGTCAGGTCACCGTTTTTTCTTTATTCAACTGCGAGGGCGCTCGTTGATAAAATCAGTCATGTTTATGCTTCACAAAACTAATTTCAGTAACTTGTCAGTTCATAGTGATTTTTTTTATATTGTCTTGTAGTTTTCAGTGACCTTACTAATTTACTAGTACTTTCCAAAGTCAGTGTTGTGCCAATACATAAATGAAATATAGTTCACTGGTACATTATATATATTTATGGTACACTGGGTATACGATAAATCTTACTTTAAAAACAAACAAACATGATCTTCTTAGTAGAAAACTACCTCTCCCAACACCACTGAGGGAACAACGGAGCATGCTCAGAATAAATAATTAGCTTAGATTGTAATGCTAGGGTTTTTAGTGATGTCATGACCTGGCTATGACCTTGATCTGAATCTGTGACAGATGGGTTGTACCATTACCAATCTCAGTGGAAACTGTAGAGGGGTGTCAGGACAACATTTTGGTGAGAAATATAGTGATGATACTGAAATAAACCCAGGTCCTGGTAATATACACAGACCTGAATTAACAAAGAAGTCAAGTTGTTATTAAAGGTACATCAAGGTTTACTCAGATTTATGAATGCAGTTTCTTGAGCATGTATGAGACATAGTTTGGTTGCACTTGTGCACTCTGAGATTTTGGGACAGGGTCAATGAAAGTTTTCAGTTATCAGATTAAGGGAAATCACTTTATGATGAGTTGTACCCACATAGAGTACATATTAATACAATTGTTTGCAGATGTTCCATGTATTATTTTAACATGAGTATTTTATATTTAAATAACGGGGACTGTGACATTCATGTCTTGTTTTTTTTAAATTGTATGGTTTTATTGTTAGACTTTCTAATAATTTCACTGAGAAGATTTTTTTGAAGATTTTTTTTAGAATTTTTACAGTTTTTGTCTGAAAACTGTCTAACTGTAGGAACCATATAGATAGGTAAGTGTATCTGATTTCTACTCATTCATTCATTCATTCATTCATTCATTCATTCATTCATTCATTCATTCATTTATTCATTCATTCATTCATTCATTCATTCATTCATTCATTCATTCATTTATTCATTCATTCATTCATTCATTTATTCATTCATTCATTCATTCATTCATTCTAAATGACAGTTT